TGATAAGTATTTCGTGATGTGATATGCTTACAAAGTAAAAAAAAGCAATTTTTGCACACCTCCGTTTTATAGCATGGCTTTTGACCCAGCAGTACTATTTAGACTTTGCGGAAAGCGATGCTGGAAATGATACTCAGAACATCAGCTTATGAGCCGGTGAAACAGATGTCGAAGGAAATCCAAAAGCAGATGATGCGAATCATCGTTTTGGAAAATGAAGAGAATGCTATCCTAGCCATCAAGATCTTGGTGGATCATAGCAAAATTACGCGCACCCATCTTATCCCTGAGGCTAGTTATTTCTTCACCTTATCTCGCATGCATGTCCATGGGGAAATATTCTAGGTATCAGTTATGTTGCAACATTTCAAGCAATGGATCAAATGTATGTGTACCTGTCTTGTAAGACCGCATACCTTTGATACGATCGATCTCACACATCCCGCTGTGCAACTCCCGGAAGAGACTGTTATAGAATCGGTGGGACTTTCATTACTGAAAAATATAATAATTTATTAGGTTATTTCCCCATTTCAGTATCTCCAACAATGCTATTATGTGCAATCGGTGATGTTATACCCTCCAAGTGGAGCTATGGATGCGCCGGTAACCAAAGCGTGAATTTTACGCCACTGCTATAAAGATAAATCTATTCTAGAAATATACTTTGATACCGAGAGCAAGCCAGTCATTGAAAACCTTCCAAGAAATCCCTATGTTGGTCATTTTTTTGTACCAGCACCATAAAGCAGGAGTTCAAGCTGAAGTACGGTATCTCCATCCTCGCAGAGAAGATCAATCTATCGTTTTCTGGGAATTTTTTTACCCTTTCTCTAGGCAATGGAATTCCTTCTCTGCTGCCTTGACTTTCTGAGCATACAAATATCTGCTGAGCAAAAAGCAGATGAGAAATATAACAAAACGTTAGCAGATGACTTCTACACTGCACAATCCAAGATGCTTGCTTATCTGAGCATTATGGGAAAGATACGCGAGGTAAGTTCGTGAAAATCTTTGTTTGTATTCTGCCAAACATTTTTATTTCTCTCAGTTCATGGAGCAAATCCTGGCAAATGGTGATAGATTCATCAACGGTGTACTCAGCCTCCTAGAACAATGTCCAGCCGAACTAATCGTTGTAAGAAAGTGAGTTTCTTTTAGCGCGAAGGGTTACTTTTTTGAGCTGAGACAAATTTCAGGGACGTCTTGATCACACTGAAATTCTTCTTTATATCTGATCTCCGGCCAAAGTTTATCCAGCTTTTACCTCGGCTCCTATCTGAAGTTGCTCTTATCGGCTCTGGATACACAGCAGTGGATCATTTGAGGTATTAGCATCACTAGCACTTCCGGTGAAAAATCTGCTTTAAATTTACAGGGGCTATTTTTACCAAACTATGGCTGATTTTCTTCATCATGTACGATCATCCCTTTCTTTCGACATGCTTGCGCAGTGAGTTTATCTTCTTGAAGTGTCTCATATAAATCACAATTTAA